GCGGCCGACGGTGGTTATGTCTCCGTCCGGGGATACCTTGATCTCGTACGGTAAATCGTTCTCCCCTGCGCATATGTTAACACGATCAAATGGATAAAATATTTTAAAAAAAAATGTAACATGACAAGAACTACTTCAGATTGAAAAATCAAGAAAATGCTTTCAAGAAAAAGTAATATTTTGGATACACCCTCGATAGTATATAAATGCAGTATTGTATTTTGTAGTGTCAATTTCACGTGCTTAATTAATCTATGACTAAATTATAAATATATTTAAAAGTTAATAATTTTATATTTCTTATCATTTTTTATATATAATATATTAAATTAATATTTTTTTATAATTATAAAACACTTGGTTAATTTAAATTATAAATATATCTAAAAGTTAATAATATTTGTACTTGTTATTAATTTTTCATAGATAATATATCAAGTTAATCATCTTTCACAAGGTCGATTTCATATACATGAGAAAAATAATTTTATTTTCTTTATCATAAAATTAAATCATTCATTAATACTAATTAAAAATAAATAAATCATTTATTAATTTAAAAAAGATATTTATAAATTCATCACATATGAATTAAAAAATTGTATATAAGTCGAATAAATCATACAAATAATAAAAAAAAATCTCCTTTCAAATATAAACACTAATACATTTTTTTTGTGAAAATCATCCGTTATTTAAATAGTCACTCATATAGTAATTACGGGTATTAATTGTACTAGCTGCACCAATTTATTAGTCTCAAAATTGCCATTTGCCTATATATACACAATACATAGAACCTATTAATCAATTACTCACCAAGAGCGTAGAGCTTCCCACCTATCACGGCCACGCTAGTGTTCGCCGTCCCGTATCCGTTTCCCAACGGGTCGAACTCCCCGGCCCAAACCCTTGCAGCTCCCAGCCCCACACGGGCCCACGACGCCCAAAACCCGTTGAACGACGAGAACGGGCTCGGAACAATCGGGTAGCCCGCCCGGCCCTCGAGCTCATACTTATATGTCCTCACGTGGCGGCTGCAGAACAACGGCTCCGCGGGCCCCCGGCCCTCGAAGAAGCTGACCGCGTGGACCATCCCATCCCCATCAAAAAGGTGGTGGGGCCCGCGGGGCGGAAAACGGGGGCTCGGCCCGTTTAGGAGGTAGGCCCCGCCGTGGAAGCAGCTCGGGAGGCGGCCATGGCCCGTCGCCGCCACGTGGCAGGTGGTCGGGGGGAGCTCGTCGGCCGGGGCGAAGTTGCCAGAGAGGACGACTGACGGGTCAACTGACGGGCGGAGGGGTTTCTTGTCGAGGAAGTCGCATATGAGGCCGTCGATCGACCGGAAAACGCCTGCGAGCGGTGGCCGGGCGGCGGCGGTGGTGAAGTTACGGTTTTTGCCGGCGGCGGCCGGAGATGATGATGATGATGACGTGGATGGGAGTTTGGGATAGGAGGAGGAGAAGAAGAGGGAGGACATTTTTGGCTGAGGTTT